CTGTTTTTAGGCTTTTTTTTTCACCTGGTGATCTGGCAAGTAACACACCTCCTGTATTATTGTCCCCACTCTGGATGAAGGAACACAGGGGACACTTTTGAACAGCGGCATTGTCAGTATGGGGGGGGGGGAGTGTTAGATGTACTAGCAGATTTAAATATACTAACAAATTAAAGTCAAACTCCAGCTCACACTGCAGTTACAGCAAACAGTGTTTTTTTTTTCTTTTGGGATAAAGGTATAAAAGATTTACATAAATCAATAAAAGTTGATCATTTTAGCCACCCCTGTCACTGGTAAATGATTTGTCTCAACACACTGAACTGATTCCTTTAGATTGTAAGCTCCACGAGCAGGGCCCTCACATTTCTTCTGTACTGAAATGTATTGTAATTGTGCGGTCTGAGCCAGGGGCGAACGGACAACTGATGGGGCCCCCGGGCAATAAGGGATCATGGGGCCCCTGTGTCCTTGCCCAAACTCAAAAAAGCCTATGAAAAAGGTACCAGGGGCATCTCATGGGGCCCCCTACTGACCCCGGGCCCTCGGGCAATGCCCGAGTTTCCAAATGGTCAGTCCGCCCCTGGTCTGAGCAAACTGTTGGCGCTATATAAATCCCTGTGTAATAATAATAATACATTTGCGGGAGAGCTTGTTCTTTTGAAAAACAACAGACTTACTGGCTGGATCACCAGGCAATCCCCTTTTCGAGGGCGCATTCTACAAACGTAAAAATGTTCAATACCTGGAAGCGCTGGGTACTTGGTATCAGCTCCAAAGGAGCAGAGGGTAAGTATAGGTGGGCCAGAGGTGGGTTTTAGAGAGACCCCCACTCTTAGATTGTAAGCTCCCAGGATCAGGGCCCCTCCTAACCCTCTTGTATTGAACTGTATCATTTCTGTATTGTCTCCCATTATATTGTAAAGCGCTGAGCAAACGGTAGCGATATATAAATCCTGTCTAATAATTGGAAGTTCACCGAATGACGCTGCCCAGAGTTCCTCTCTGACCAGTCTTCATAGCTGGCTGCAGGTCCCTTTAATGAGCTGTGACAGTCCTATAATTTACAGCAGAGGTGGATGGGTGAAAAGGGGCAGGAGGGGGTAGGTATAAGTGGCCCAGAGGTGGGTTTTAGAGAGACCATTGGAAGTTCACCGACTGATGTTGCCCAGAGTTCCTCTCTGACCAGTCTTCATAGCTGGTTGCAGGTCCCTTTTAATTAGCTGCGACAGTCCTATAATTTACAGCAAAGGTTGATGGGCGAAAAGGGGCAGGAGGGGGTAGGTATAAGTGGCCCAGAGGTAGGTTTTAGAGAGACCATTGGAAGTTCACTGACTGATGTTGCCCACAGTTCCTCTCTGACCAGTCTTCATAGCTGGTTGCAGTCCTTTTAATGAACTGCGACAGTCCTCTAATTTACAGCAAAGGTTGATGGGCGAAAAGGGGCAGGAGGGGGTAGGTATAGGTGGCCCAGAGGTGGGTTTTAGAGAGACCATTGGAAGTTCACCGACTGATGTTGCCCAGAGTTCCTCTCTGACCAGTCTTCATAGCTGGTTGCAAGTCCCTTTAATGAGCTGCGACAGTCCTATAATTTACAGCAGAGGTCGATGGGTGAAAAGGGGCAGGAGGGGGTAGGTATAAGTGGCCCAGAGGTGGGTTTTAGAGAGACCATTGGAAGTTCACCGACTGATGTTGCCCAGAGTTCCTCTCTGACCAGTCTTCATAGCTGGTTGCAAGTCCCTTTAATGAACTGCGACAGTCCTCTAATTTACAGCAGAGGTTGATGGGTGAAAAGGGGCAGGAGGGGGTAAGTATAGGTGGCCCAGAGGTGGGTTTTAGAGAGACCATTGGAAGTTCACCGACTGATGTTGCCCACAGTTCCTCTCTGACCAGTCTTCATAGCTGGTTGCAGGTCCCTTTAATGAGCTGCAACAGTCCTATTATTAACAGCAGAGGTTGATGGGCGAAAAGGGGCAGGAGGGGGTAGGTATAGGTGGGCCAGAGGTGGGTTTTAGAGAGACCATTGGAAGTTCACCGACTGATGTTGCCCAGAGTTCCTCTCTGACCAGTCATCATAGCTGGTTGAAGGTCCCTTTAATGAGCTGCGACAGTCCTCTAATTTACAGCAGAGGTTGATGGGCGAAAGGGGAATTTCCATTTTATAGTTTCATCGGTTAGCGTCTGTGTATTCCTCTGATCTTCCTCGTGACGGTTGGGAATTTATCTATTTTTTATAGGAGAGGCGAGCATTGGAACATTCATACTTCTGAAAGATACAAAGCTCTCCTTCCATTAGGCCCCGCTAACGGTCCTGACATTGACGTCTTTTGTGATGTATGGCCTGACATATAGACTCACCACCTGCTTTGCATTATCACAGACAGACCCTCCAAGGAATCATCTGCCGGCTTTTTTTCCATAGTACAAAAGTTAGAATTTATCGGGGGGGAATTTAATATGCAGTGTATAATGCCCCGATAATGCATGACAGCGCAGAACGCCGCCATCGCATCTTCTTCTGCCACCAGGGTATACAGATTGATGTATACAGCCTAGGTCTGGAGGGCTTTAGGTCACATTCTGGAATTCAGGAGCTGCAGTTCGGTCTACATGACAGATAAGATATTTTATTATACAAAATACAGTTGTGCTAAAAAGTTTACATACTGTCAGAAACTGGGAAATTTTGGCACTGGTATTTAAAATATGACCGATCATGCCAAAAAATGCTCTATTATTGAAGGATAATGATTAGAGATGAGCGAATTTCTCAAAAATTCGATTCGGCTGATTCGGCGAATTCCAGTGTGAAATTCGATTCGATGCGAATTTCTTCGCTACGAAGATGACTTATAAAAAGGGTTTCTAGGCTTCAGAGAGCCTTTAAATTAGTGCAGAACACTGTACCTTTAATTTAAATGCCCTTGGAGATGAGGAAAGAGAAGGAGGAAGGAGAAGGAGAAGGAGAAGGCATGAGAAGAAGGAGAAGGAGAAGGATGAGAAGAAGGAGAAGGAGAAGGATGAGAAAGAAGGAAAGGAGAAGGATGAGAAGAAGGAGAAGGAGAAGGATGAGAAGAAGGAGAAGGAGAAGGATGAGAAGAAGGAGAAGGAGAAGGATGAGAGAAGGAGAAGGATGAGAAGAAGGAGAAGGTGATGAGAAGAAGGAGAAGGAGAAGGATGAGAAGGAGAAGGAGAAGGGAGAAGGAGAAGGGATGAGAAGATGGAGAAGGAGAAGGATGAGAAGAAGGAGAAGGAGAAGGATGAGAAGAAGGAGAAGGAGAAGGATGAGAAGAAGGAGAAGGAGAAGGATGAGAAGAAGGAGAAGGAGAAGGATGAGAAGAAGGAGAAGGAGAAGGATGAGAAGAAGGAGAAGGATGAGAAGAAGGAGAAGGAGAAGGATGAGAAGAAGGAGAAGGAGAAGGATGAGAAGAAGGAGAGAAGATGAGAAGAAGGAGAAGGATGAGAAGAAGGATGAGAAGAAGGATGAGAAGAAGGATGTGAGAAGGAGAATGAGAAGAAGGAGAAGGATGAGAAGAAGGACAGTTCTGTGACAGTTTCTGTCTATTTCTGACAGTTCTGGGACATTCACTCCATACAGCTGTTTCAACCGCTGTATGGAGGGAATGTCATGGAACTGTCAGAGTCCCAGAACTGTCATTAATAGTCTATTTCTGACAGTTCCATGACATTCCCTCCATACAGCGGTTGAAACAGCTGTATGGAGTGATTGTCCCAGAACTGTCAGAAATAGTCTATTTCTGACAGTTTCTGGGACATTCACTCCATACAGCTGTTTCAACCGCTGTATGGAGGAATGTCATGGAACTGTCAGAGTCCCAGAACTGTCATTTAATAGTCTATTTCTGACAGTTCCATGACATTCCCTCCATACAGCGGTTGAAACAGCTGTATGGAGTGAAAGTGTCCCAGAACTGTCAGAAATAGACTATTTATGACAGTTCTGGGACATTCACTCCATACAGCGGTTTGAAACATTGTATCTATTTTTTTCCATAAATGACATTCTGCAGATACACTTAGAGGAGCGCTGCAGATACACTTTTTGCCGGCTTGGAATTATTCTTATTTTCATCCTACTTCTTCTTTTTCTTCTTATGAGGATGAGGATGAGGATGAAGAAGAAGAAGTAGGATGAAAATAAGATTAATTCCAAGCCGGCAAAAAGTGTATCTGCAGCGCTCCTCTAAGTGTATTTGCAGAATGTCATTTATGGAAAAAAATAGATATAATGTTTTCAACCGCTGTATGGAAGGACAGTCCCAGAACTGTCAGAAAAATAGTCCCTATTTCTGACAGTTCTGGGACATTCACTCCATACAGCTGTTTCAGAAATAGACTATTAATTTAATGACAGTTCTGGGACTGTCCTTCCATACAGCGGTTGAAACATTGTATCTATTTGTTTCCATAAAATGGATCCATTTATGGAAACAAATAGATACAATGTTTCAAACCGCTGTATGGAAGGACAGTCCCAGAACTGTCATTAATAGTCTATTTCTGACAGTTCTAATGACATTCCCTCCATACAGCGGTTGAAACAGCTGTATGGAGTGAATGTCCCAGAACTGTCAGAAATAGACTATTTCTGACAGTTCTGGGACTGTCCTTCCATACAGCGGTTGAAACATTGTATGTATTTTGTTTCCATAAATGGATCCATTTATGGAAACAAATACATACAATGTTTCAACCGCTGTATGGAAGGACCGTCCCAGAACTGTCATTAATAGTCTATTTCTGACAGTTCCATGACATTCCCATCCATACAGCGTTTGAAACAGCTGTATGGAGTGATTGTCCCAGAACTGTCAGAAATAGTCTATTTCTGACAGTTCTGGGACATTCACTCCATACAGCTGTTTCAACCGCTGTATGGAGGGAATGTCATGGAACTGTTCAGAAATTAGACTATTAATGAACAGTTTTGGGACTGTCCTTCCATACAGCGGTTGAAACATTGTATGTATTTGTTTCCATAAATGGGATCCATTTATGGAAACAAATACATACAATGTTTCAACCGCTGTATGGAAGGACAAGTCCCCCAGAAACTGTCATTAATATCTATTATTTCTGACAGTTCTATGACATTCCCCATCCATACAGCGGTTTGAAACAGCTGTATGGAGTGAATGTCCCAAACTGTCAGAAATAGACTATTTTGACAGTTCTGGGCACTGTCCTTCCATACAGCGGGTTGAAACATTGTATCTATTTTTTTTCCATAAAATGACAGTTCTTGCAAATAACACTTAGATGAGCGCTGCAAGATACACTTTTTGCCGGCTGGAATTATCTTATTTTCATCCTACTTCTTCTTCTTCAATCCTCATCCTCCATAAAGAAGAAAAAAGGAAGAAGTAGGATGAAAATAAGAATAATTCCAATACCGGTTCAAAAAAGTGGTATCTGCAGCGCTCCTCTAAGGTGTATTCTGCAGAATGTCATTTTATGGAAAAAAATAAGATACAATGTTTCTATCATAACCCGCCGTAATGGAGTGAATGTCCCAGAACTGTCAGTAATAGTCTATTTTCTGACAGTTCTGGGACATTCACTCCATACAGCTGTTTTCAACCGCTGTATGGAGGGAATGTCATAGAACTGTCCAAGAAATAGACTATTAATGACCAGTTCTGGGACTGTCCTTACCATACAGCGGATTGAACTGTCCCCCCCATTAATAGTCTAATTTCATGACAGTTCTATGACATTCACCATCCATACAGCGGTTGAAACAGCTGTATGGAGTGAATGTTCCCAGAACTGTCAGAAATAGACTATTTCTGACGATGTTTCTGGGGACATTTCCCTCCATACAGCGGTTTCCGGCAAAAAAGTGTATTGTGCACAAGTTCGCTCCTAGTTCTGCAGATACAACTTAGAGGAGCTTCTGCAGATTACACTCAGAGGAGCTTCTGCACATACATCTTTTTGCCGGCTTGGAAATTATTCTTATTTTCATCCTACTTTCTTCTTCTAGTTTTCTTCTTCTTCTTCATCCTCATCCTCATCCTCTTCTTCTTCTTCTGAGGTATGAGGATGAAGGAAAGATAGAAGAAGAAGAAGAAGAGTAGGATGAAAATAAGATTAATTCCCAAGGCCGCAAAAAGTGGTATGTGCAGAGCTCTTCTATGTGCAGAGCTCCTCTAAGTGTATCTGCAGAATAGAGGAACTTCTGCACATACACTTTTTGCCGGCTTGCAATTATTCTTATTTTCATCCTACTTCTTCTTCTTCTTCTTCTTCTTCTTCTTCATCCTCTTCTTCTTCTTCTGAGGATGAGGAATAAAGAAGAAGAAGAAGAAAGAAGAAGAAGAAGTAGGATCACATGAACAGTGGTTGAAACATCTGTATCCTAAATGTAAACTAATAGATACAATGTTTCAACCGCTAAACATGTGTTCCTTCTGTCAGAGAACTGTCAGAAATAGCGGAGCTCACTGCAGGGACACTTTTGCCGGCTGATAGGGAAATGTTCGATTCGCGCACCCGAAGTAGGCAAAATTTCGGTTTCGCCGCGAATCGAATATTTCCTGAAATTCGACTCGAATTCCGGTTCGCCTGGTTCGATTCGCTCATCTCTAATAATGATCATATGAAGCCATTTATTATCAAATAGTTGTTTGGCTCCTTGTAGCCTCCCTAGCGGTCTGATTATGTCAGTATTTCTGTGCTCAAAGCAGTATATTTTTTGCATGGAAATATGTATTTTTTTTTTTGTAGGCCTGTAATTTTTAGGAATAACTCACTGAAATCTGTCCGAACAAGAGTCTAGTAAACATCCCGGGTATGATAAAACTTGAAACACGAAATCATAAATTATAATTTAATAATCATAAAAAATAATATAATAATAAATGTAATTCAATAATATAATCAAACCAAAAACACTGAAATGTGAAATATAGCGCCAAGTTCGCACATCGCTGAGCAAAGTCGCAGAATCGTTTTCAGTGTCTGATGAGGAATTTCCCCCACGAATCATTATCACTCAATTCTGCAAGTGGTTCTGATTTACTATCGCTGTTCTCTAGCCGGTCTAAAACTGCTTTTGACCTAAAGAGACGCTTTTTGGACGCCATGGACGTTTCTCAGTTTCCAGGCAGAAAGAACAGTAAAAATGCAGGCAGGGCGCCGGACAAAGCACTCGGGACAAAATGTATGTGAAATGGTTTGATACAGGAATGTTATACTATGTGATTTTAGTGTATTTAGTGAATGTCACTTTTACAACTTTCAAATTTCCCGCCAGTTCCGTCCCCCGTACATCCGACGTCGCAGGGAACGGAACCCAGAAGACAAATGCTGGCATCGGTTGGAGGACATTACCGGGGACACTGCAGGAGGGACATCGCGGGAGCGCAGGACAAGGTAAGTGCAGAAGAGAACCCGGAGCAACGCTGAAGTGTATTCCTGAGTGTAGCTCGGGGGGGTTACCGCTTGTGGTGCTGAAACTTTACCCCGAGCTACACCCGGGAATACCGCCAGGGGGGTTAAAATCATAATGATTATTATACAGGATTTATATAGCGCCAACAGTATAATGATAACAGAAATCACCCAAATGGCCTGGATCAGAAGTCTCCGCCCCTGAATCAGAAGTCTCCGCCCCCTGGAATGTCCGGCCTTGGTACAGACACACAAGGTGACACACACGGGTTAAAATGCCAATTAGAGGTTAATGTCCCACATCTGTGGCTTTTTAAATTGCAGTTAGTGTCAGTGTATAAATAGTCAATGAGTTTGTTAGCTCTTACGTGGAAGCACTGACTAGGCTAGATACTGAGCCATGGGGAGCAGAAAAGAACTGTCAAAAGTCCTGCGTAACAAGGTAATGGAACTTTATAAAGATGGAAAAGGACATAAAAAGATGTCCAAAGCCTTGAATATGCCAATCAGTACTGTTATATCACCTATTAAGAAGTGAAAAGTTCGGGGATCTCTTGATACCAAGCCAAGGTCAGGTAGACCAAGAAAGATTGCGGCCACAACTGCAAGAAGAATTGTTCAGGATACAAAAGGAAACCAATAGGTAACCACAAGAAAAATACAGGCTGCTCTGGAAAAAGACAGTGCGGTTGTTTTGAAGGAGCACAATATGATGACACTTGAACAAAAATGAGCTGCATGGTGGAGGTGCCAGAAAGAAGCCTTTACTGCATGAAGTCACTGAGCATGTGCAGTAACCCACAAAAAACAATAACCAAGGGCAGTTCACTCTTTTCAGGGAGACATGGTTGGTTGGCTGCCCGTATAGTGGGTGTGTTAAGTGAGGGCAGTGGGCGGGGGTGACAGTCTCCCAGGGACTGGGACTAATATGTTGGTATTAAATGGCATTGTTTGGTATCTTGCAGTAACAGCCGTAAAAATGGGTGTTTTCACGTGTATTGTAAAATTTTATTCCAGCTGAACGCAGTGGTGTATTTAGGTTTTGTGCTGCCCTAGGCAACATAATAATCATCTGCCCCGCACATACACTGACCAACACTACCACCCCTTCCCCCACCCGAGAGAGCCTGACAGTGACCAACAACACCCATCTGGGAGAGCCTTCTACTACCCCACCTCCGGCAATAGAGAGAAATACACCCGTCTTCACAGCTCTGGACATCCCCGGGAAGGAGAGTCAGGCTGTACTTACACCATCAAGCAGCATCAAGCATTTTTCAAGGTGCTGCCCCCCTTGAAAAATGCCGCCCTAGGCAAGTGCCTTGTTTGCCTTGTAGTAACTACGCCCCTGGCTGAACGCCTGAGAATAATAAGGATTCACAAGTCCTGTGTAAATATTTTTTTCTTCACCACGAAAAATGGATGGGGTCCATAACCTGAACTGACCATAACCCAGATTTGATATCGGCCCATAATAACCGGCTGGCTTGTTTTGCTTCATTCGGGCCCAGGCAGGAAATGTCCTCATTCTGTTTATGTTCTGACGCACTCCCTCTGAAAGGTTACCAGACCCAAACAATGGCTTACATTTAATGGCTGTTAACAGATGTTTAGTCTCTCGCTGCTTTTTGAATTCAGACAGTTCCATTCTCCATATTTTTAGTAAAAAAAAAAAACGACTCGCCGGCACAAGCCAGACAGACGGCGAATTCCACGTCAGCGATTGTTATGTCCAGTTTGGGGGAAGACACATCACAACCAACCCCCCCCCCCCCCCGCCCCGTGTCTCCCGATAAACGGTTTGCTGATCCCATGTTACACTTAAAGATGATGTTGGCAAGAAAAACATATTCTTTAAAAATGACAATCAGCAGCAGACGGGATTGTAATCTCTTCTTCAACTCACTCGGCTGCCTGTCACGAAGACAAAGCATGACTGACTAAAGAAGATCTTATTAGATTGTAAGCTCTGTGGAGCAGGGCCCTCCTAACCCTCTTGTATTCTAACTGTACCAGGGGCGGGCTGACAACTCACGGGGCCCCCGGGCAATAGAGGACCATGGGGCCCCTGTGTCCTTGCCCAAACGCAAAGCCTATGAAAAAGGTACCAGGGGCATCTCATGGGGCCCCCTACTGACCCCGGGCCCTCGGGCACTGCCCGAGTTCCCAAATGGTCAGTCCGCCCCTGAACTGTACTATTATTTCATTTATTACAGGTACTTGTATAGCGCAGTCAACCTACGCAGTGCTTTACATAGACAGCCGTTCCTCCATTTCTGAACGCCTCGGTTAACGTCATTTTTTTAGTTTACGAATGAAAATCCATTGAAAATAATGCCTCGGTTCACAATTTTTTCACAATACGAATGGATTAATTGGTTTTCAATGCATTTACCAATTTTTTTTTTTCAATGATGTCCCTGTACAGTATTTATGCCTTTAAAGTGCACTTTATAAAGAGTTTTGAACAGATAAGACTTTTTTTTACTTTTTTTTTACTTTTTTCTGACCTCCAGAACGGATTAATTGGTTTTCAATGCATTTACAATTTTTTTTAATCATGTCCCTGTACAGTATTTATGCC